AAAAAAAAAAAAAAAAAGAATCGCCAAACAACTTAATCGCTCAATTTAAAGACAAGAAAACTAAAAACTTTGTTTACCTTATATAAGACTGATCAAGGCGTAAAGGACGTAAATAATCCTTCGCTTTTATGTTCATTCCAAAGACAGATGCCTAATTTCTATTACTTTTCGGAGTATAGATTTATAAAAAAAAAAATAAATAAAGTTGATGTATAAATTTCTAAAGTACCGGAACAATAAACACTTTTTATATGTCAATAACGTTAAAAAAGGAAAAAAAAAAAAAATAATAATAATTGTAAACTCATCGGACGGATCAATATGTTATATTAATATATAATCGGTTCTTTTTCAAAAAGACAATCCACGGGCTCCGACGTACGTGTAAACTATGCTACATGTCGATGTACAAATGTAAATAAATAAATGGAAAAAAAAAAATTGTATGTTCAATGCATATCGTTTTGCATTAGAGAAACTGTATGTTCAATGTAATCGTTTTGTCCTTGTATCTGTTTTGTGTATCTTCTTTTTGTCAAAGCACACCAACACCTCCACCCATATTCGGCACAGCAAGGAGCATCAAAGGGAGAACCTCTGAGATAGCGGGAGACTTCAAGAATCAACGGATTACCTCAATACTCTTGTATAACCTGGCATATACATTACAGTATTACTGCCAACAATCTTGGACTACAGGGTCCATAAAGCCACGAAAAAAAAAAAAAAAGAAAACGATAGGGAGAATACGAAACTGCTCATAGCAATCGGAAATGTTGCGGATGCAGATGCGAATTTTGAAGGCTCACATATGCCTTTTCTGGCTTAAGTCTGTTTCGCAGAGTTTCGTAACTAGTCCAATTACATAGAAAAAATTCAACAAAAAAAAAAATATTTCGGAAATCTATCATCAAATTTTTTTTCGAAATAACGGAATGACGAAAAAACTGTATCATTCAGTGCACCCTACAAATTTGCAACCCTGTGTACTGTTTCTTTCCAAACCTGTGTTTGTTATGTTTTTGCGGCAGATGACGCCCTTCGCCACTTTCATGCATTACGAAAGGAAACCAATTGTACGACGGATGGAGTACAAAGAGATACGGAAATGTATGTATTCGTTGAGTGCTTGAAAAATTTCTTCCAGTTATATTTTTGCCCGTGGAATCGACATCGCTTAAATTTCGTAGTGTGCAGTGAAAGTGTTTAATTTATTGATAAAACCGAATTAAAGGTTAAATGAAATGTGAATTTAAGGTTAAATGAAATGCGAAATCTATCAAATGTTGGTATAGAGTGCAAAAAGTTCGTTTTAAAAAGCAAGAGGTAACCTGTTGCTCAGCAGCCGGTGAAAGCGTAAATCAGGCATGCACAGTGCTGTCGGTAATCCACGCCGGTGGTGTTTCGTGTCTATCTGTATATCTTTAATACATATGTACGCATGTATATAAATGTGTGAAAATATCGGTTGTATTTATGCATTCAATAATATTTGCATATATAGTGTAATAATCGTATATAAAACGTGCTGTTGAGAAAATTAAAAAAAATGTGCTGCAATTTTATAATCTCTTCGGTAGTTTGTGTAAATCGTTTTCGGGTTTTCAAGCGCCATTTGATGTAGTGTGTTCGGTCGTTCGTACAGAGTTCGGTTAATCGCGTCAGTAATGTGAAAAAATTGTATCGCACAAAATTGTGTTAACAAAATTGGTCAATATGGCGGTTTTCGCAAACACATTGAAAGGTGAGTGAGTACCTTAGTATTCTTTGTTAAGAAATTATTATTATGTGCCTGCACAGATTATTTAAATTCTTAAATTATTTTTTTAATCGGTTGCATTTAGCTTCCGCTGTATGGGTCAAATCTGGTAAGTAAAAAAAAAAATAATAATTAGGAATTAAAGGGATATGAGCCTGCATAACAGGTAAATGGCGTAGAATCAATGTATTTTTACAGTTTTGGGCGTTTTGATAAAGTATAGATCCAATTAAAAAATTTACTCAGCAGGTAAGAGATTAAAATATTCTACGAAAGTTTTTAAAAAAAAAATTAAATGGGATCCTATCCGAGATTATAAGATTTTTTACTTTTTAAAGAAGCCTTTCTAAATTTCTTTTGTGATGCTTTTACCAGAAATATGTACGTAACAGTGCCCTGAGCGCCCAATCACAGATGAAATTGATTTTCGGGGTTATTCTGAATTCGAAAACAACTGTTCCAATTAGATATGTAAAAAATTTCAATCGGCCATAAATTCCATTATAATGGTTAAACGTGATCAAAAAACTAAAAATCCAAAATAACGAGTATTTTTTATCGAACGATTAGATTTGTTTCGAAAAAATAAAAATCCAAATTTAACGATTATTCTTAACCGGAAAAATAAAAATCAAAAAGTAACGATTTTGCAATGCTGAAAAAACAAAAAACCTTGATATTTACCGCTTATCTTCGGTCCTTGTTAAAAACAACAGGCCCATGGATTTAATAAAAAAAATATCCATTTCGTTAAATTCTAAATTATTTAATGATCTTATGTGTTTTTGTAGTAAAAGCTTAAGAGAAACTTCGGTACCATCAACTTACATTCCGCTTCCTCTGAATATGTAGTGCATTTTTTTTATTTTTTGTCTTCCAACGGTAAATATACGGATCCCGGCTTAGGCGGCCGTTTTTCTGATATCCGACTAAAAAAGATTCTATTTAAAAATATAGTTCAGATTTTTTTTTTGTATTTTTATAATCAAATTTAATAGTATCTAATTAGTAGTAAGAGTTAAAAGTTTATATATTTTTCATTATGAAAAGAAGCATTGAAACAAAGAAAGAGGTGTAAACAAATTTGGAAATTCTTAGCGACTATGCTTCCACGAAATTAAGGGATCTTCTTGTTTGGGTATAAATGGTAGCTGTACGGGGTGTAAAATAAAAACTGACGCACAGGTTTTTTTCATGAAAAATAAAAGGGTTCTTTATAGATTTTGCGAAAAAAAGTATTATATTGTTAATTTTCCACAGGTTTTACTTTAATTCTATTAATTAGTTTTTAAATTTTAACCTTTTAACGCAAGTCTTAGTCGATTAATTTACTCCATTATTTGTGTAACCATTGGCTAATTTTCTCCATTTGGAGTCCTTCATACTTGCCTTTCGTCCAACATAAGGCCTAATACTCAGCAATCGAATAAACTCGGAACTGGTGACCAAAAGAATATTAATCACAGTTTCAAAATTTATACAAAATTTAGAAAAATTCAACAAATTTTTATCGAAATCTAATATTTTTAATCTGATTCTTTAGAACATTTTTGGGTATGCAGTTTTAAAGCCATTAAAATTCTAGTCTAATTAAGTGCAAGTTTCTGCCGACTAAAAAATCGCGTTGATTTTTGAGAATTTTCTAAATATTCAGATTAAAAAGTTGAAATTTGATGAAAATTTGTTGAATTTTTTTAAAGTATAAAAAAGTTTGAAACTGTGATTTATATGGTTTTGGTTAAAGCTTGGACGGTATATTTTATAGAAAAATAACAGGTTAAAGCTTGGACGGTATATTTTATAGAACAATAACAAACAAAAAAATTTAGCTCGAAAAACATTACGAATATTTAAATATTTTCATTTGTTTGAGTCACTACTGTAGGTACATATTTACGAATTGTAAGCAGGGTTGCCACTGACGAAAAAAAAGGCAATCAAAAGTTCCTCATAATTCCAGTAAAATTAGTTTTGAGTGGAGCACGATATGTTCGCCTCGAAAATGAATGCAATAAAGTAGACTACACCTTTGGAAAGAAATTTATAATATATAGATAACTACGAAAAATGAAGCGGTAAATGAAAGCTTTGCTTGTTTTTCAGACAAAATACACTAACAAAAATTTACCAAAATGAAAAGGATTTACCATTATACCAAACCAAATTTCAAGCTCGAGTAGAAAAGATCGAGGTTTTATAATTGTTTCTTAAATGCATATTTAGTATACACAATACCAAAAAAAATTGAGATATTTAAGGATTTATAGACCAATGATCCCAGTCTTGTATTTCATTATATAATATTAAGCCCGGGCTTTGCGTACTGATTACTTGTGAAGCTGCCAAAAGTATATAATTCCGATCTAATTCACCTTCCTTCACACCGCAAGCCAAAAGCTTCTTGGCGGCATTCAAAGCTGAGCGCGATGGCAACTTTTCTAAAAATAGAAAGATTTGAGAATCATTTGGGCAATTACTTAAAGTAAGGATAACATACCTGCATAGTTGCCGATAAAAGCAATACCTGTGCCATTCATATTGTAGCCATAGGTGTGTGCACCGCGCACGCCCCAACCAGTGCCCTCATAAATGACGCCATCTTTGCCGATGAGGAAACTGCAAAAAACAAAAACAAGGAAAATAAATGATTGATCGCTTCTATATAAGTATTTTGTTTTAACTGAAAAAGTGTAGCAAAAACGTTAATATTTGATGTAGTAGCAAACTTTCACTGGGTTTACCCAATTCAGATTCGTTCAGTGATAATAAGTGCAGCCGCGCAAATTGTGGGGCGTAACCATAAATGAAAACAAAATGCGAACAATTTCCAATTCACTTACTTATAACCGATGTCATCGTATTTTAAATCATTCATGTGATAAATTTGTGTACTCTGTAAAATCGATGCACATTTCAGAAACTGATCACACTCATCCGAAACTGTGTGATGAATGATTACATAGCGAATTGGCGGCACTTGGTAAGTTATTGCAGTAGCCGGTTTACCACCCCACTGACGTTTTAACTTAATACGCGGACAATCGTTTTTGCCGGTCGAAACCTCACTTAGGTAACATAACAGGGCAAGTAGAACAAACAAAGGAATGTTTCGCATTTTAAGACTCTTTCCTTTTATATTGTATCTGCTTCTGCGTACAAAAAAAAATCTCTACCGATCCACCGCGTTAGAATGCCTTTCTGCAACTGATCGCTACACTCGCACTTGGAGCTTTGTTTTATTATCAACAGCGGTAATGCGCGCTGAACCTGGCTCATCAAATATTCTTGATTGTACTCATTCGAGCTCATCACTCTCTTGCTACCAAGAAAAAATTTCGAGCTTTTGCATGTGTACACATGTATGTATTTTCACATTTGTACATAAGTACATACAGGGTGGGCTAAATAAAACCTACCAATGTTAAAAAAGTTACGGGCTCCACCAACGTAACGGTAATTTCAAAAAACTCAAAGCTAGCTATATTTTAGGGAGAGTAGGTTTTGTTCCATTTCAAAAATTTTGAAGACTGTACTTAAGGACACTAAGCACAATGTGTATAACAAATTTGGTCGAGATCGGTCAAGTAGTTTTTGAGATACGCATATACATATATATAAGTGGGCGGTGGCACAGCCATTTTCCTAAAATTTCTTGAACCCCCCCCCCCCCCCTTTTTGCTAAAGAGCGATTGTATATATCAATTTTGAATAAATATTGATGAACTCCTTAGCCACACTGCTCAAAAAATCTGAGATTCCGGTACATACACACATATAAATTCAAAGCCCTTTTTAAGAAAAGTCGCCTAACTTCGACAATTTTTATGCGATAGCAATAAGTGGGCTATGAGTTTATTTAAAACTAGATTTAATTTTAGATAGTAGTCGATATTTTGAAATTGTAGAAATTATCGATGGTCAAATTTTAAAAAATTAAGAGAAATATGTATTGG